CGCTGGGTCATGCGCATGTACGATGACGGCGAGGTTGACGACGAGTTCCCACCTTTGACTAGGAATAAGCCGTTGAAAGACTTCGCTTCGAACAACGCCCGTGGTATGCGACCTCGAGCACGAGATAAGCCATGGGACGAGTTCGCACTTGTTGAGGCATCCCAACGAGAGTTTGGCGAGAACGAGAAGCTCACCCCAATTTACAGTCAAGAGGCAGCAAGTGCAGTCGCGTCGCAAACCGATGGCCCCGACGAAAAAGAAGAGAAGAAGCCCCTCAAGCCTCTTCCAAGTCGCGCGAAAAGCTTCAGGAATCCCATTACCGGCCCTTCGTTTGCGCCCACTGCGACGCGCAAAGATACCAGTAACCTTGCCGACGTACCAAAAGTCCCACAAACACATGCTGCTAGCCGCACGGGAGCCCCCAAGACAGTCAACGTCCACTTCACCGACGAGAATTTCAACACGAAACACTTCAACATACCCTGCACCACTGACACTTACATTGCTGATATCTTCGATCAAGTATGCCACGACTTGCGCTTAGAGAAAGCTTTGTATATCCTCAAAGTTAGCGGCAGCACTACGGTAGCGCCACCTGACCGCACTGTAGAGGCTCTAGACACGCGGATGGATCTGGATCTCGTGCGTCGCCGGTTCGTAGGCGACGGTGTCTACGGTCTTTCGGGATCACCAGGGTCCTCATCACCCAATGCACCACTCATCATCAGTACCGGTGGTGCGCCAAAGAAGACAAAGAAGGGCGACCGAACCAACGCCGCTGTCTCTGGCCAAGGTCTCATCCATCCACTCGCCAGGAACGGCGACTCCGGTGCTCTGGCTCTCACAGCAACGAACTACTACCGCCGCTATGCCGTCCTTCGCAAACAGCCCATGTCCTTTGCCTCTTCTACATCCCGCATAATTGCTCTTGATAACGAGTACATTCATATTATGCCCGGTGAGTCCAAGACAGGAGCGCGAGGTGGCTTTGGTGTTGAAGGCCAGGGCAAGACGACCACAGTGCATTTCAGCAGTGTGGTCGGTAGCAAGGTCAGCAAGAAGCATCCCAAGATGTTCCGGGTCATCGTCTTCAAGGAGCGCGAGACGAAGCGATATGACTTTGAAGCTCAAAGCACCAATGAGGCAGTGGAGATTGTCAGGGAAATCAAGAACGGTGTTGAGAGATTCTCGCAAGGCATCGTATAATTATGACGCCGTACAGCTGGACTACGATATGCATGGCTTTTGTCTTCTTGATATCAAATTTGGGATGGATGCGATGGTGTTCTCGCCGATATGGATTTTCAGGCGTGGGTGGTTTTAAAATGGCGTTTGAATTGCGATTGCAACTTTGGTCTGCTCAAGGGAAGATACCTCAAATACATAGATATCCTGCTGATGTACATATAAATTCAACCTCTCGTCTGCGGCAGATCTGACGATGTTTGCAAAGCCATGCTCAAGACTACGCGTCACGTTTGAGACTCAAGATGGTGAGACCTCGTAGAACATATACGCACCAAGAAAAGAAGTTTAGCCCTGCGATCATTCTTTCTCCTACGCACGCGAATGTCGTATCTTATACATCAAAACATGCGTGGCAGGAAATCACGTCTTCGAGAAGCAATAACGTCAAGAATGACATATCGTACTGTCCATTTCGTTATATACATTTCCAAAAGGGTCAAGTGCTGCCCCATGGCCTTCTCTCCAGTGCCCTACATACCCCAACTAAACTCATCCGCACCATTCGCCCACATGCCAAAGATCTGAATAGGGAACTTATCCGCAATGTATTGGTATCCAGCAGGGCCAGGATGAAGATAATCACCCGAGTCGTACAACGGGTTGAGCTGACTGGGGATGTTGGGATCGGCAAGGAACTGGTCGAAATCCACAACGGCATCGAAAACGCCCGACGTGCGGATGAACGTGTTGATGCGCTGACGCGTCTTCTCGCGCTCGGGATCGGAGTAGGGTTGCTGGGTGAAGTTGGCTGGCGCGCTGAACGGTGTGATGGTGGCGCCGAAAACGGGGATGCCGTGGGCGTGGATGAGGGTCACCATTTGTTCGTATGCTTGAGTTAGGCCTTGGTAGACTTGCTCTTGTGCCTCAGGCGTTGTTGCTGCGGTTCCAATATCGTTCACTCCTTCGAAAATCATGGCGTATTTGACACCCGGATGGGCGAGGACGTCGCGGTCGATGCGACCGAAAGCGTTGGGACCGAGACCGTCGGCTAGGATGCGGTTTCCGCCTGCGGCCAAGTTACCGGCTGAGATGTATTTGGTGGAGGGGTTCTTCTGGAGACGTGCGAGGAGGAGGTCGGGCCATCTGTTGTTCTGGTTGGTTGTAGATCCACGGCCGTCGGTGATCGAGTCGCCAACGATGAGGAGGGAGCCGACGCGTGGTTGTACCCAAGCTTCGATGGAGGAGAGGAAGTACCAATGCGCCACGGATTGTGTAGTAGAGTTGCTGATGTCGAGACTAGCCGAGGAGACTGCGTTGCCAAACTGGAACCAACTGGTTGTTCTAGAGCCGGGGTGACTGGTGATGCTGTTCGTGGTTTGTCCGCTTGCAAGGTACATGGTCACTGTGACGATCTGCTGCGCCTTGATTTCGAAGTGGATGGGGTCGGACACTGCGAGTGCGCCATTTGGCACGCTGATACCATCCTTGCCTCCAAATGTTACTTTCTGGACGGTCTTGGGTTGAATCTGATGGATGCCGGCGGTCTGGTTCAGCGGGAGCGCGACTGTCACAGCGGTGATGGGAAGATTGGAACCGCCAAACACGTTGGAGAATTTGAGACGGATTTGCTTGGCCGAAGTGGTCATGTACAGAGTCTGTCGAACTGTCGAGTTCACGAAGACTGCGCCTGTCTGGTTCTATATGATGTGTTAGTACAGCATAAATGAAGACTTGATAGGTGGACGTACGAATGGAGCTGGAGGCAGGTTCGCAGGCTCAGTGAGCTGTGGCATTGATGCCCATGCATCAACCCAGTGGCCATTGGAAGGGTTAGGCCGAGTGGTGTGCTTGCCGGAAACCCTCTTCTCAACTTCAATGGCATGGCCTTGAACGGACACTGCAATGCCCACAAGGAGCACTGCTAACCTGGAGAAAATCATACTGGTTCAATTCTCAATCGAAGGTTCAGAGAATGACAATCCTGCAGAGGAAAAGCGCTGGGGCTCATGCATGATTAATACTACATCGTGTACGGGCCCCAAATTACGGAGGTAGGGAAAGAAGAGAGGCTAAGCAGGAACACGAGCATAGATCTGGTATGGCGCAGGAACCGATCTACAGGCTGTCCTGAAAGAGTATCTGGGGTGCCGTTAGCATGTGGGGATTTGCGGAGATGGTCGGGTAAATTGCGCGGGTGGAGGAAACCTGGTTGGTGGGCGCATTTCCTGCTTCGCCTTTTACCCATCGGCTGCAAAACCGCGTAAACTGCAATCGTGACGTTACTGCGCGCTATTCGGGCCGCGGGCACAATTGTTCCGTTAGCGACAGGAATGGGGGAAGAAGAAGCGAGTGGGAAGAATCATGCATCCGTATTCATTGGTATCGTGGCCCATGCAACAACAAAATAACGCCGCCCATGCAATGCCCGGGAGATAGTTAACGCCTGACAACCTGAAGGGTCGTCTTGATATGTCGTACCCGGCTGTGAAATGGAGTCAGCCAGACGTGCGACCGCAGAAAGAAAACTATGGCGCCCATCCGTGAGAGACCGCAACCATGTATCTGATCATGGCTAGGTGAGTGCCAGAAGGTGGAAACCTGGCGACATGAGCTTCCCCTTCTATCGAGAAGCCCTCGAGGTCCGTCACTACCGGCGCGCTCAAACTCAAAAGTCGTCATCGCTCTCTGCCTTCTTCTTTTTCCGGCTTGTCGTCTTCTTCTTCTTGCCATCCACATCCATGTCGCCCTCACTCTTCTCGGGCGCGTCGGCGACCTTGGACACGATCTCGTTGAGGAAGTCGAAGCGGTCGGTCTTGGTGATGGCTTGCTTGAGGTGGATGGAGCCGACGCGCTTGGAGTTGCGCGCTTTGGCTTCGGCGGCGGCTTTGGTGACGAGGGAGATCATGAAGAGCTCGAGCGCTTTCGCTGTGGAGAGTCAGCCATGGTGGAGAAAGCGCCGCGCGGGCAGAACGTACAAACAACGACGGGCGTGACCTGGGCGACCTTGCCGACATCGTCGTCGGCCTGCATGATGCGCTTTATGCGGGCGACGGGGAAGTGGTTCTTGATGGTGATGTTGTCCGTGGTGGGCGTGTCTGCCCCGCCTACGCCATTGCTCGCGTCTGGCATGGCGGGCACTGACGCGTCGGGCAAGTAGTCTGCATCCTGCATGCTCTCCTCCTTCTTGACGCCGCGAGGCATACGAGGCGGTGGCGCAGGGTCGCTCTGCAGCGGCGGATCGGTCGTGGGCGGTGGGAGGGCGGCGCGACGTTGTCGAGGGGGCCGCGGTGTCCTGGATGCTGGGGGTGAGTCGCTGTAGGCTGCTCGGCGTAGTACGAGCAAGATAAATCTGGCGACGGTGGAGCCCACCTGCCGTCCATTGGCTGGCGTGGGGCCCGTGCTCGTGGCGCCTCTGCGACAAAACCACTCGTCTGCTCCAAGCTTCTCTCTCCAGCCTCGTCACGTCCATCGTTCCGTCCAGGGGCGATGGATGCGCGTCGCCAGCAGTGGATGACGACACGAGCACGCCAGAGACCTCTCCGCCTTGTACAAACAGCATCGTGGTGCCTGCTCCGGTTCGCAACGACGAAACCCGCCCCCAGTCGCCTGAGGCCGTGGTTGATCGGCGCGCCGGCGGCAGGAGTCGCTGATGGTGTAATTACTTGATCTAATCTGACACTCTGCCGCGCTTCTTTGTTGACGAGGCGTCTTGACCTGACCACGCTTCGGCGAGTCTGTCGCGTCCCCTGGCTTCGCACGCCGATGCTGGGCGTCGCATATACACAATACACATACCATACACCTCACACGCCTCATGTGTCTTTTGTGATGCTGCCATCCCTTTTGTGCCCCTCTCTACCCGGGCCTTCTCTCAGCCATGTCTCTGCGAGGCCGTTCTTCGGGTCGTCTTCAGGGTAGCCTCGCTGCCGCCTGACGTCCAGAACCGCCTGCCGTATCCTCCGCGTGCACTCTTTGCGTATGCTGACGGCCTCGTCGGAGTACTTCAGGGCGTCGTTGAGAACACCGACTTGCAGTTTTCCTCCCTTCCTCTCCTCGTTTGCGCGCATCTGTTTCCAGCGTGCGCGCAAGTCGCCGAATACCTCCTCAGCATCCAGCTTCTCACCAAACGTCACCCTGACGTTCTGGAACGGCCGTGGTATAAAGCGCGGGAAGGTGCGTGTCTCGTGCATGATATTGTCGAAGCCTTCAATGAAGATGGGGACGATGTCTGGCATCGGCTCACTCTCAAGTACCAATCGAGATACTCCCCACTTGAAGTAGCGCATGATCCTGTCTTCCGTCTGGTGTATCATGCCTTCAGGGAAGATGTGCACCCACGCATGCCGCCGATTCAGGTATGCCGAGGGCGCAGGAAACGTGTCTTGTCCGTTTGTAGAGAATGTGAGGTGGCCGTCGGTAAAAGGATCGATGAGGTCTGGGCTCTTGAGCGATGTGGTAGGCTTTTCTGGTGGTTCTTGCTCGTGGAACGGGCCGTGTGAGAGAAGACGGATCGCTTGCGTTACGGTGGGTTGGAATAGGCCGCCGAATTGGGAATGCGCCGAACGATGTGTGGGTAGAACCTGTCCAAAGGTAAAGAATGTCGACAGTCCTCTACTAGGGCGTCAGCCGAGCTTTCTGTGCATTCCAGAGGTGACATACTTGTTGGTGAAGCATAGATCATAACTACCTAATCCCCAGCGCAGATTGTCCGGGGTAAATATGTAGGCGAGTGGTAGTATGCCCCATAGTATGGGATCATCCATTCTGTATAGATTGTGTGAGCGCAGTCCATCCATGACGATTCGGAGATTATGGCAAACGTACGTACACGGAGATGTGGTTCGAGACTGCACGCTCGTCAGTACTGGGCATTTCCTGGGATCTCGATAGTACAAGCACTTACCAGTTATGAGGCCTCGTTGCCTACTCGCTGGGTCCTCTCTTTCATCCAATAGCTTCAGGAAGCCCTCCATTCCATGTGTCTCAACCTTGCTCAGGCCATTCAGGAATCCTTTGCACAAGAGCCCGACAGCGCCCATGGTGAAGGCCGACGCGGCGCGCCATGGCCCGCTGGGGGCCTCCGGCTGCTCCTCTGGTCGCATTGGTGTAGGCGTGGGGTTGAGGGCGACATGTGAAGATTTCGCGCTCAATAGCTGGATGCCGCGGCCCACCAACGTCACTGCCAGGGACCGGCATTTTGGCGACACCTGGGCAGTGACTAGCGCGATTGCGGCCTGCACGTGCGCCAAGTGGCTGGCTCTTCCGCTCCAACACGCCTTCTTCCATCACCACAGCAAGAACTCGACACCGTACAAGACTAGACTTGAACTTGCGGGTCTTGTGCATCATCTTCAGAGCTTGTTCACGGAATCCCATGTCTGGGCTCGGCACTGTTGCCCGGATTGGTATACCTATCACGAAAAGTCGCGTCTCGATTTGCGAATCTTGAATCCTGAACATAACCGAACATGCCGCCCCCAAAGACTATCTTCACTTCATACGAGCGGAATGCCCTCAAAGACCGATGGGGCTCGCAGGCTACACGTCTGACCCGTGACTCTTTTCTACCTTTTGGCTCCTGCCAACTATGTCTCCTTCCTTCAGTAGACCCCGTGTGCTGTTCACAAGGCGATCTGTTCTGTCGCGAGTGCGCCATGACCAATCTTCTGGCGCAACGAAAGGAAATGAAGCGACTAGAGAAGCTGAACGAGCGCCAGAAGTTGGAGGACGAGGACCAAAAGCTGCGAGAAGAGGAGGAAGCGCGGCTGCTGGCAGTCGAGGAATTCGAAGCTGTTCAGATGGGGCTTTCGGTCAAAGCAGGTGCATCAGCACGAGTCGTTGGAAGGCAAGGCAGCAAGATCATGGTCGAAGAAGAGCAGGATGCCAAGGCTGGAGAGGCCAGAGGCACGAAACGCAAGTTCGAAATCGATCAAGAGGAACTCAAGCGCATCGCACAAGAAGAGCAGAGCAAAGCAAAACGTACATTCGACGCCGAGCGCAAAGCAGCCAAGGGTCATCTCCCCAGCTTTTGGGTTCCCGGCGAGACACCCGACCAACACCACAAAAGCGCAGAGAAGGCGAAACAAACGCCTGTATGCCCATCAAGCCACCCAGACCAACCGCACAGCCTCTCGCTAAAGAGCTTAACGAGCGTCAACTTTCACGAGGAAAAGTCGTCCGAGACGGGAAAATCGGCTCGCACATGTCCCAGCTGTCAGAAAGCGCTCTCAAACAGTACGAAGGCCATGCTCGCTATACCTTGTGGTCACGTCCTATGCAAACCATGCGTTGATAAGTTTCTCCGGCCAGAGCATCGCCATCAGCGAGATGCACATGATCAAGGACCGGAGCCCGAGACTGTTCATTGCTATGTATGCGATGCGGATCTTACGACAGTTCCAGACGCCAATGAAGGCAAGAAGAAGAAAAAGGATAACGAGAAGGAAAAGGCGCCCAAGCCTGGACTTGTGGAGATAAGGAGTGAAGGTACCGGGTTTGCAAGTGGTGGAAAGGCGATGGTCAAGAGAGAAGGAGTGGCATTTCAAGTATAAGAAGTCTTTTCTGATCGACCGAACTACGGGCGCGACGACGAAAGGCCTGCTAACATAGACTGCGAGTGCTTGAATGGTAGACCTTACGGTTTACATACACTTCCGATATCTCTGCCTTGTGAAACTAATTGCTGGACAATGGCAATCACATACTCCACGATCCTATTCGAAGTTCTTTTTAGACGGCGACGGGATTATGAAATTATGCAGCAAGAGCTCGGAAGACGGCACCGTATTGGACTTTGATCTGGCGTCATGTACTCAGCAGTCACCGTTCTCGAACGCGATGGCCATCATCCGGGCGAAAAGATACATGTTCATCACACCCAATACGGAAATTCGGAGTAGACACACAGCTAAGTGCAGCGTATTTCAATCTCGCTGCCATTATATGAACGGAGCTTAGTGTACTTAGTTACCTGGGAGACTGGTAGGAAATTACCCAATTGTGCAAGGGCTAGAAAGCCACGCCGCTGTGCTGGGTCTCCATTATCGGTAATTTCCTTGCATCTCCCAACTCTGGGCATTATTGTTTCAAACGCGATCGATATGTTGTCAGGCAGTCTCGCCAATGATGCGCTGCTGCTGGTGTGTAGGTATGTTTGCGCCGTTTCACCGTGTGCGGGAAAGACCTCATCACCCACTCACAAGCCCCACTCTAGCGTGATTGCCAATACATTCAGGGTCGATGTGCAGGATGAGCCGACTGTCCCCTATGAGGAACGACGGATCCTACGAGCTGAACGCGCGGCGTACGGGTGTGGAATGAGTGAAAAGTATCCGTGGGATCTTTCGTTTGCGCCGCTAAGAAAGTTTTGGAACTTGCTCACGACGGGTTTTGTATTTGAACTCTCTACGACAGCGGGACAAAATCTCTTCGCACGCGAATATCTTCCCCGCAATACGAACATCATGTTCAAAATCGCGTTGTTCAGTATGCTGTATGCTTACTTCGAGGGGCTTTGCAAGCAGTACCGCGAAACTCTGTCGGTATGTTTTTCCCGCGCGGTTGACTCAACGCCGCTCGACACTCGACATTTAACATCAATTATACTGACATCTTATCAGGGCTTCAAACTCACCAGGCCGTTCTTCAAGCCATCCCTCGCTGTCCCGAATGAACAGTCCGTACCACCGATCCGGGAGAAGTGGTGTAAGGTTTCCCCTCCTCATGTTTAGTATACAGAAAGCGTACTCATTCTCCAATCCATAGACTATCCCGCCGACATCGCCAACGATCTCAAAGACTTCGACCTTCCACAGCGCATCAAGGAAGAAGTATATGCATGCGCATGGGAGTACGCACGCTGCGTGATTCCTCAGTACACCAATTGGAATCGCTATGTGGCCTTCATGCGTGTTATCGTCATCGGTATCGTCGCGGAGTGCAAAGGCGACTTGGTACAGGTGTCACTCGGCGACAATCTTCTAGGCTACAACCTCACTGCTCTTCTCGACGAACTCTTTCAGGGCACAACTGAACAGTAAGCTGACCTGTTCTCTTTTCGCTGTATCTCGAAACTCACAGACTGATACTGATGTCATCCTATCTAGATACAGTGCGGCCATGGCTCGCGAATTCCGCTGCTTCCTTCTCATTACAGCAGACAAAGCAAGCAAACGCCGTGAAGGCCTGTTGTTCAAACGTTACGTTACCGCCCTCGCCAAGTCGCCTCGGCAATGGTTCCGCATGCGCGACACAGATGCTTTGATCCGCTTTACCATGGGCGCAGCTCTGGTCTGTAACGATCTCGATGACGTACACTATACCGAAGAACAGTTCGAGGCTTTGGATGAACTCGGCGCCACTCTCTACGACAGTGTAGCCTTCTACAAACACCGGTCTGAGGGCGAGACAGTGAGTGATATCTGATCAAACGTGATGCGATGGACACGGACTGACCTAGGACTTTCAGAACTCCACGTTCGCATACGCGCCTTCCGACATCCGTATCAAGGCTTTCCACCAGTCCCGTGAGTTGCTCTGGGCTCTCGACGTTGCTTGGGCGGGCAAGCGAGAACACATGGTTATAATCAATTTCTTAAGGTTTTTCGGTGGTCCTATACACATGAGTAGGCTGATATTTCCATTCCCCGTAACGCACCGTTACTAACAAAGTTCTTTAGTGATGCGTCGCTACCGGTTCATCGAAGATGGAATGATGATCGGTCGGCCTGAGACTACCGCCGTCATCACACAAGCACGCCAACAGTTCAAGCTCTGGAACCGCGTCGACATGCAGGATGGCGATGTCAAGGATGTCGAGCGCTACAACCACGTAGTGGCGAGAAGTGATGAGCTCATGTTCGACGGCCTCCGTGAGTTCCTCGACGCGAGCAACGAGAATACTTGTAAGGGCTGTCAGCACCGTGAGACACATGGTGGACAGACTTCTTTTTCGTTTGGTGGAATAAAGCTATGCGACGGCTGCAAGGAGTCTTGGGGTGCGTACGTCGAGTCTTTCTCGGCTCGGTTCGCGGATGTGTTTCCGGAGATCAAAAACGTGATGACAACTTAAGTCGGGTAGTGAGTCGATCAGACACGTGAAGCGCGGAAACCAGCTTTCATCAATTGCGGGATGAGCTAAAACTCACAATGGTATTACCACGCCAACCTAGGGAAAAACTGAACAGCCTAGAGCCTACGTTGACTTTAGGTCACCTCCTTTGCAAGGTTTTAGGTCAATGTAGTCTGCAGACCTGCTCAGTTTTTCCCTTGTATAAGGTGTTACTGTAACTGTCCATTGACTATTCAATCAAAAACACTCCCACGACTCCATTTACTTGCCCTCCTAATCCTCTTGCCATATATGTAGAACACGAAAGGCACTGGGATAAGCAGTGCCGCGAATCCACCAGTGATGCTACTCGCGGGGCCTACTCCAACGTTGTGATACAGCGGCGTCACTACCAACGGAAAAGCGCCCGCAAAGGCGCTTCGAAGAAAAGTGTTCGCTGCTACAGCACTTGCAGCATACAACGTGAATGTGTCGACCAGGTAGTTCAGGGCAGCTTGGAAGATCGTAAAGAAACCGGTTCCCAGCAATACCAGCCCAATGACGGGAGCGATCCAATGGTATTGAGGGTCCGCTGTCCACCCCAGGATGAACTGACCGACGGAGAAGAGTACCGAGCCGAGCATCATCGGTGGAAGGCGCGCTTCTGGAACGGCACGATTACCAGCTGCACGATAGACTTTGTTGTAAAGAAGCTGGTTATAGGCGTTGATGCTGCAGCCGATGATTGCGCCAACCAAGATACCCAGGAAAGGCAGCGTTGCGCTTACGGCTGGCCATCCCCTCATTTCGCCGAAAATTATGGGAATGCCTGAACGTGTCAGTACGTCTCACAGACAGTTCTTTTAGCGATATCTCTTACCTCCCAGCATCATGTATAGAATGCCGTAGCAGAAGCTAGCGTAGAGCGCGACAAGGAAACAGATAGGTGTCATCAGAAGCTGCAACGGCCGGAGCAGGAACTTCTTAGACAATTCTTTGATGCTGACATCCCACTCCTCGAACTTGGTGTGAAGGGCCCAGTTGCCGGTTTCGTGTCGCAGGCGACGTGCTTTGTAGACGAGGAGTTTCGGTGGGTAGCATTCGTCGATGAAAATTATGTCGATGAACAGGATGGTAGCCTGAAGTATACCAGTGAAGTATTCGGTCCAACGCCAGCCGAGTGATGGATTAGCGACAAAAGCTGCTGAGACAATTGGCCCTAGACATGGACCGCCAACGACCGCCATAGCGTAGCCTGCCATGGCTAAGGCTCTCCATGCCGGACTATACAGATCGCCCAACACACCACCGGTATTCGTGACTGGTGCGCTAGCAAAGAAGGCACCGAAGAACCTTGTGATCATCAGTGTCTGGAAGTCCTTTGATACGGCACTACCGAAGCTAAAGCAGATTGCGATGAACATGGGGGTCAGAACTGCCAAACGTCTCCCGTAGACTTCGGAAAGTGGAGCCCAGAGAAGCGGACCAAGTCCAAATCCAAACAGGAAGAGCGTAGTGCCCAACACTGCGACCTGGTTTCCTACGTCGAACTCGGCTGCTATCTGTCGCGTACCTGCAGAATATGCAGAAGAAGCCCATGTCGCGCTCATAGTCGTGAGGCCATACATCATGGTCGTTGTGATCTTCTTCTTTGTGGGCCAGTTCATGGGGCGATAAGGATCGTCTTCGCTCTCAAAATCTACTAGCACATCTGCAGTGGTCTGCTGATGCGCCAGAGGATGGGAAAATGGCGCAACATTCGGTCGTGTACGTATTCGTGAAAGTGCGGTGTCGCGTCTAGATATTGTGCGGCTCAAAGGCTGATTCATACCACTCGCCGTGGCTGTCGCTCTTCTGTCTCTTGGTAGACTGCGTCTGCTGCGTGATCGCGAAATGCTTTCTTGAAGTTCTCTTCCAGATGGACGGTGGCCGTCATGATCGGCATCCTTCTCTTCCTCGTACTCCGACGACGAATCGGATGTTGACTCGCTCCGCTGTCTTGGTCTTGATCGCCTTCCACTCTCAAGATCTACGTCGGCGTTTGATGTCGAAGTGGGATTCGTGTCTGATGATCGTTCGTCTTTAGAATCCATGATTCCAGTAGTTCATATCTTGTCGCTTTTCTCAACGATTTATTCTGGGATGCTTGAATATAAACTACGATCCCTGTTCTTGGTGCAGCTCGAAGAAATGAGAAAGATTGTCGGAAACGTGGCAAGTGCCGGACGCCTTTATGATGCTAAAGCCGGCAGCAACAATAGAGCGAGGAATTGATAGAACATTAGTAACGCTAAGCAATGACAGATGCCACAAATTTCGACTACCGTTGGGTATCTCCGGTCAATATGACGTAGATTTTGCGTACTAATGAGCTGCGCTAACCTCGAACGGTATAGTACATTCATTGCTCGGCCTTCTCGAGGTGTTATTCCCAGACCTCAGTTCGGATAAATCTCCGGCTGACAGATTTTCAATAAGTATCGCTCGCACGAAGACAATGTGTAACAGTCGAGGAAAGACGCGTGCGCACCGTGAACGCCCCATTTTCGGTGACGCGACGACAATGACGTAACGACTTGCAGCAAAGACGTGCAACGTCCTTCCGCTAGCTCTTCATTACTTCTATAGCACGTAAGAAGCATAAAACCTGGAATTGAGACATTCTGGGTACATGGCTAACATTACTGGTATTACTCGACAAGTAGTTTTCATCTACCTATCCAGGTAGGTCATTAAGTATTCTTACAAAGCTCCAGGGGTATTCTTAATGGCCTGAGCAGCAGCCTCGCAGTCCTCGCCTAGCGGAACAACAGCGCCATATCCGACAGCCTGCCCACAGCCAGTGAAGCCATAAACTCCCTGGTAGAATCCGGAACCATCTGGACTGGCCTTTTGCAAGGTAGCAGAGAATACATTGGCACCCGCTGAAGGACCAAGAGTTACGTTGCCCGAGCGGTAAGTTGGCTGTGCGGTGGCGTTGTTAAAGAAGTAGACGTTGCGCTGGCACTTGGGTGAAAGGAGGCTTCCCACGCTGCCGAGCAAGAAGGGCTGGTTGACCATGCTTTTCCACATGTCGAGGGAGTATTTGGGTGCTGCTTGGTTGGGTTCGCTGACGAACTTGAGATCGATCGCCTCGGAGTACAGGCCAGGACCGCTGACTGGGTTGGGTGCCTGTGCCCACTTCGAGTTGATGCCGAAAGATCCATCCCTGTATGATTGGAATGGTGCATTGAGTGGTAGAAATGCGCCGATTCTGGTCTGAATACCGCCTACAGTAGCTAAAGACTTGCGCATTAGCTATGACCCTCAAGCTGAACTGAGTGTGCGCTTATTACTTACCAACTAGAGAGGGAACAAGGCCGGCAACGTAACCCTGGGTTACTTCGTCCACGCCGGCAAGGTACGACACGAGGGGCGCATTGAGTGGTGTCTTGGAGCTACCGACGCCAACGTAGGGGATCATAGAGCTGGCGGTCATCACTCCTGTAGCAAGCTGGAGGCCGCCCTGGCGGATATCGGTGTTGGCTCCGGCGTTGACGATGACCGGGTGCATGCCCTCGGGAAATTTCAGCTCTTCGGGAAGAGATAGCAGATTTAGTCCGCCTAGGTTGACTAAGCTCGAGAACGACTCCTTGAGGGCCTTCATGACAGCATCCTTAGGCACCGGGACAAGGAACCAGTCTGCAAACTGTATCAGTACAAGATTTCCTTACTGTCCAGAGAATTCACACTTACTGCTGGTCGCACTCATAGTGCGATCTTGCTGATTGTAGATGGCAACCTCATTTGGGCACGTTGTGCTTTGGCCAGCGACGAGGCTCGCGGCAGCAAGCAGTATTTGGAAGAAGAAGCGTGCCATGGTGTAGCTGATGATTCAGATGGATGGTTGAGTAGAGAGCGGTCTTACGGTGGCATAGGCCCGTTATATACAAAGATGCGTTCTCGCTTGGGATCGTCATCATACCCACGTAGACTAACATGGTGCTTTGCATCACAACAATGACTCTATAGCCCTGTCAGTGCCTTGCTTCCGAGCTTGACCGTAGCATCCGGAGCGATTGGGCGCTCTGGACATTGAGATCGACTGCTAGCATTCCCATGCTCATTCGGTGGGATGGACATCACGGCTCCTGTTCTCTGCGCTAGCCATCAATTAGGTTTCAGTTCGCCCCGTTTCGGTTTTTAATGAACCCACTTGTAAATCAGGCTAGCTACAAGTAATCGCTCGGCACAAGAAGATCAACGATCGTCGGTACCAGCGCTTCCGGTCCGCTCCAATCCCTTCCAGAAGGACTCTTACATCGCGCGGCTATGAAGCTGCCGAATACCGGAACCTGTGTGATGCGGGCTACCTGACTCAACTCATCTATCTGAGCGTTTCGTTATACAGCCGTACAGAATGATGCTGTAAAATGGGATACTACTTGTGGGATCACTCGAGACTTGATATTTTTGGATTTAAGATACCCCTATTACGATGTAATCACAAACCCATGCGGCCACTTTCAGGTATGCGTGAGAGCTTACTTAGATGAGTACACTCTAGCGCTTATGGTACGCTATGGGAGATGACGACGTGAAGCAACTTAGAGTTTTCCTATTCAGGAACAGGAAACTTGAAAGAACATGAAGTGATGCGGATGGCGCTAAGCTTTATCTTCCGATAAACGTCTTCCAACTGGTATCATGTGTTTTGATTTTGCACGGCTTCATGACCAACATGCGCAAACCGAATTATCAGCCTCATAACCCTCGAAGCTGACCGTGCAGATGTTTGCATGCTTTACCGGATCGTATTTTCCCTGAAGCAGTATTCAACTCTTCAAAGGTTAACCACCCTTTCATGATGATGACACGAAAAGACTTGGCAGGTAGCATTTCGGGTACCTGGGTAGATAGTCAGCGCGCTCACCACCTTGAATGTGATGTCTACCTAGGTATGTAGACGGAGAGTTCGAAGAAAGTGACAGAATGCCATGATCGCTCGGTTAATGCAGCCCTCCCCACACGCGCCCAGGTGG